AAGATGGCCGCCCTAAAGCTCGTCAGCGACAATAGGCGAGAGCGGTCCATGAGGGTCTATCCTTATATTATGTCTATGATGGTTACGGCTTGCCGACAGGAAGTGACATCATCGTCTCCCATTAAGCATAATATTGTGGTGCGATGCTGGCCTGATTCTGTATAGACTGGATTTATGGGTCTTCAATAGGGGCCCCCGACCCCTAGAGGGCTCGCAGAGGTACTGCAGAGGGTCGACAGACTTTTTATAATATTTAATTCATTTTACCACGTAGCTATCTGATAAAAGGAGTCAGAAATCATCAGTCAGAAACAAAGACATTCAGTGATCTACTATTTGCATTCCCGTTTAGCATAAGATGGTGACCCTTCAGAACCACTAAACCAATAGACCTAAATACTTCTGTGTCCTTCTGTTTTTGACCCAAATACTAAACAGTTTTGCAGTGTAATATTGTAGATCTAGCTGCTGCTTCAATGAGCATCAGGCTGCTAACAAAGGACAAATGATGATGATGATGATAGCTCTTTAACCTTCCTCCTCTGGTCTCCAGGTGTGTGCAGGTGGAGGTGTGGCATCCTGCAGGCCCCGCCCACTGCCACAGGTGTGTTTTCAGCAGCAGGTAAATGAGTAGCACTCAGGTTATCACCATGACGACGTTAAAACTGACCGGCCAACAATCAACATGAGAAAAGCATATCATCCATACAGGCTGATCTGATGATTAATTATTGATTAACTGATTAATCACTGGATGTAAAAGGTGATTAATAAAAGATTTTTTACAGAATCTCCAACCAGGTGAAGCTCAAACTGAACTGGAGGAGTTCTGCTAGAACAGATTTACAGGCCAGGAAGGTTTTTACCTTCTGCTCTGACCGTTTTTTAAAAAATGGCATTTTTAGTTTCCTGCAGTTGATCGATTATTATTTTCAGAAACAAGGAAATTAAAAGTATTTTACATGATCAGAAGGAGAATAAATACGCAAATATTTTTATTTATAAGGTTTTGTTGGCTCTAGTGGCCTTTATTTGAAAGTAGTTTGACAGGAAAGAGGTAATGAGATGGGGAAGACATGTGGCAGATGTCACCAGGCCGGGAATCGAACCTGCGACCACAGGCATGAGGACCAAGGCCTCAATATGGGGGCTATGCTTTGCCCCTGCACCACCACAGCAACCCCACAAATATT